CCCCAAAACCCCAAAACCCCAAAACCCCAAAACCCCAAAACCCCGTGTGATATATATTGAGCTAAGATACGAAAATATAATCTATAAATTAAATAAATGGAAGACTACAATTTCATGGGCTCAGACAGTAAGTCTAAGACCATTTGTGCTATCATCAGTTTGGTATCTCTCGTTACTACCATCCTGATAGGAATTAGTTTCGGTTCAGTTGAGCCTACAGAGTATGGAATTCTTTACAACACCATCACCAAGAAAATAGATGAGAAAAACATTCTAACAGGAGGCTTGTAATATCTTGGCGTCCCAAACAAAATCATTACCTTCCCTAGAGTTAACAAGCAGATAGAATTCTCAGACCAAAAGGCTGCAGATGCCCCTGCACTCTCTACCAGAACTAAGGAGGGTCTAGAACTCAAATTACACTTCTCATTCTAGTATCTACTCCAAAAAGATTAGCTTGTCAACCTTTACAGATTAGTTGGAACTGACTACAATCAACTCTATACTAGAATTGCTTCAGATGTCATCCTCGCTAATGCTGGTAACTATCATGCTACAGAGTACTGGCAAAAAAGATCTGAAGTCGGAAACCAACTTGAGAAAGCTCTCAATGTCAAGCTCCAAGAGGCATTTGCTAACTGTACTGGACTCATGCTGTTAAAGATTGATTTACCAGATTCTTATGAAGACGCTATTGTTGATACTCAACTTGTTAACTAACAGAGATTAACTCAAGAGAAGGTCAAGAGCATTAATCTAATCCTCGCTGGCATAGAAGTGGATAATTCTGTGGCCAACCAGAACATTTCAATCATCAATGCTGAGGCTCAATACAATGCTACCATATATTCCAACAATATAAATGCTAAGATGATCAAGAACACAGTCACCAAATAAGCTGAGGCCTATACCTAGGCTAAGAAAGATTTGCAGTTTGACAACTCTAAGAATCTCTTGGACTTCGTTTACTACTTAAATATCATGAATCTTGACAAGAAAAAGGAGAACAACAAACTTATCATTGGAGTCGATAACCCAAGAGTCACTCTTCAAGAAGTCGGCAAAGGTTACAATTTCGCTCCAAGCGCATTGGTGTGAAAGGATAGCAATCTCAGGATATGATGGAAGTGCCATAAAAATTGAATATTTTACATTCAGACCATATATTCATTAACTAATTACATTTCTCAATATTATTCCTTAACCTCAATCACGGGGTTTTGGGGTTTTGGGGTTTTGGGGTTTTGGGG